TCAAAAGATGCCAAATTGCAGAGGTCATCAAAAGATGTTGAACTGTCAAGTTTATTAGAAGATGACGAACTACAAAGTTTTACCAAAAAATGACGAACTAAAGAGATCATCACAAGTGACGAGTTGGTCTATGAGAAAAACTCATCACAATATGACGAGCTGAACTACGAACCAAACTCATCAAAATATGCCGAATTGTAGAGGTAAACAATGATGCCGAACTACCAAACTCAGCGCAAGATGATGAATTGAGCTGCAAGTAGAGGGCATTAAAAGATGCAAAACCGCAAAGGCCATCAAAAGATGTCGAACTATTGAACTCATCAAAAGATGACAAACTATAAAGTTCACTTTAGTTGGGCCAATCCACATGTGACACGTGTCAGCTCGACTGTGGCACACGCGAGCTAGGCAATAGAGATCCCACAGCTCGGACACCTCAGCTCGGGACAGAGAGAGGTCAGTTCGGCCGTGGCCGCCGCCTCTCCATGAAGTGGGCCTAGTGGGCTGCCGCCTCTGGACCTTTAGGGGTTGTCCTACGAAACCCTAGAAGGGATCCGAATCCTAAGGGGACTCCGACTCCTATATGGAAACTACTACCCATTAAGCCTATAAATATGGCACTACGCGACAACTCAAGGGATGCCATCCACAGTACTCTCTATTGTTACCCTACTCATAAGCTCTAATGACTTGACCGTGAGCTATTTCGGGGACTTTAGTCCCGCTGTTATTCTTTCTTTGCAGGATAGCCTGTTTGTTTTCCCCTTCAGTTCGGCTGCACAGCCAGCTCGGTTCGCAGCAGCTCAGCTCGGATTGCGTTCTTGGCCGTCGCATCATTCACCAAAAGATAATGAGTTAAAGAATTCATCACAAGGTGACAAGTTGATTTATCAGAAAAACTCATCGCAACATGACAAACTGAACTATGAGTTGAGCTCATCAAATGATGCCCTGAACTCCATAGCTTATTTCAAGATGATGAGCTGCAAAGCTCATCATAAGATGAAAAGCTAAGCTATGAGCCGAACATATCAAATGATGTTGAGATGTAGAATTTATCAAAAGATGAAAATTGCTGTAAATGATGAACTGTAGAGCTCAGCATAAGGTGACAAGCTGATCTATGAGAAGATCTCTTCTACGTTGCCAAAATTAACATATGAGCTAACACCACCACAACAAAATGGTTGTCTAAAGTTTTGATAAGTCAACTTGACATAACAATTTAGACGATCTAAACTAAGTTATTATAATAAACTCAAGAGATCTAACCAAATTTCTCAACTTAAAAATTTTTAGACCATTTGCAATGATCTACCTATACAAGGTAGTCAATTAATAGCTTTAATGAGCTCTTGATTAAAATTATCTACACAAGATAGAATGACCCACGAAAAATATATGCATAGGTAACAGATCGGATATATCCCAAATTGAAAAATATTCGATTTGGGGGGTATTGTAGAGGTTGAAAAAATTAATACCTGACATATATCATGGCTGAGGTATCATGGCTGAATTGTCATGGCCGAATTATTATAGCTAAATTGTCATGACCGAACTACGTTGGTTGGATAGAGTCAAACTATAGTTATGTCCAAATCTATATATAAGACTTATATTGTTATTAATTGATAAGTGAATAAACTATCAGAATTATCCCCACTAACTTGATAACATTACTAAATAATCATCCTAACTCATGATACAATCACTAAAGGATTATCCCTATCAGGAATCCATGAAATAATTATTAGATTGTCATCTTTATCAGAAACTCATAGGATAATCACTAAAGGATCCATTTATGATTTGTTCATTCCTATAAATATAGGCACAGACCATCAAAGGGAGGGCATCTGATACTTACTCAACTCTTTACTTCTCATTTCCTAAAAACAAACCCAAAAACAGACCCTGGTCCTTTTGAAAAACAAACCCAAAAACAGCTAATCCAAACGGAGCCATCAATAACTTGAAAACTGACTCGATTGTCAGAGTGACCCGGGGATCAGACCCTGGTCCTTTAATAGCCCCTTTATATGCAAGTCATATTCAAGAGCTGACAAAAGGTTAGTTCATCCAACCTCCCCTTTGTTAGTTTGAACAAATATAATTCATCTCATCCCAATAGATCAGCTGGTGGTAAAATTCTACCTCATGGAATCTCGATGATTATAGTGCTAGCTTGTCAGATCCAATCTCGGTGAAGCACATAAGTTAGTTCGGCCTGATCAAGCATAGTCATCTTAGCAGCTCAATTCATTTGGCTGAATTATCCAGATCAGTTCAATCTGTGGATTTTTTTAGTTTTTACATAACCCAACCTTGATTTTTGTGTAAATTGGAAGCAGGATCCATAGTTATTCGGAGGTCCATGTAGAATGAGTTTACCTACCATAGGGAGAGATAGGGGTCTATGGATAGGCAACTCTAAGAAGGAATCGCCCTCACCCGAGCACTGTGGCTTAGGCCTAGTTGTCTATTGCTCTAGATCAGAGGGCCTTAGAATGTGATCAGGGAGAGAGCTCAATGGGAACATGGAATGCAAAAACAAATAAGGTAGCTAGCAAAAAAAGGTACTAACACTGGGAAGTGAGATGGTGTATGTACATTACTTCCTCTAGTAGTGCTACCTCACAGGGGTGATGGAAAAGATATGGTTATTTAAAATAGGGATGATTATAGCATTTGGAGGGACTTTTCACTCTTTGGGCATACATTAGGATGTTTGAGCCGTCACTACCATTCCCGATTTGATCCCAATTCTTGCCTCACTTACACCCTATCCAGATTCTTAGGCCCTCATCTTGGATATGGTTTTACTGATAATTGATTTATTAGTTATTATCCTGGTCTTCCATGAGAGCCATCTTGAGGTCCAAATTCTTAGAACTCGGGTGAGAATCCCCAACAAAAGTTCCTCACATGTACATCGCATTAAAGTATCGAGCCGAAAAGTGGATGGAATAAGGAGTTTGGACCAACTTAGTGCGCTTCACTTTTTGGGAGGAACGTAAACATATCATTTAAAACTACGTTACCCAAAAAGTCAACATATGAACTGTAAGGGAGGTTCGGTGCATTTTTCTTGGAAATTAATTCAGTAATTAAAATTTTTTTAGGTTTATTGCAATATGCACCTTAGACTATTTTCAATTTGCACTTGTCTCTTAAAATATATGTTCTAGCATTTAAACCTTGGTACCCTAATCTACATCAATTTATCAAAACATTTTTATGAGTGCCATTTTATCTAAGATATCTATCATGATTGATTAGATTCACCTGATTTAAGTAATATGCAACATATTCATGATCTGAGGTTTACTGCTAAAATTGATAGTTTAGTATGCCAATTGCAAATCAGAAAATTATAACAAACTCTATATTTATTCTATTTACTTCTTTGTTCCCTTACAAAAAGCTGTTATGGTTTGTTGAGTCCTCTCTTGTCAAATTGAGAATGGCGCATTCTTGTAATAACAATTATAACGGGTGGAGAATTTCCACGCTTTTAACCTAAAATTTTCTTGGAAAGACAAGATTCTAAAGACTAATTGTTTAATGCCCAAATCCTTCTATTTGTTGACTATTTGAACTTCTCCTCTACTTCTTCGAAAGCAAGAAACGATTGCACTGTCAAGGGACAAATAGGACAAATCCAACAGAAAAAAAAAAAAAAGAATATTTAAGGTAGGCCAGCCAATTTAAAGAAGGCAGAGAACTTTCATGAGTAATTGATAATTGAGTTAGATTAATTGTAGGCATGTCTTTATTTGGGATAAATATACCAATATAATACTCAGCCGGCTATATGATTGACATCACAAATTTCTTGTCGTTATTTTGTATTTTATATTTCCATTTTTGCACAGATTGTAGTGAGAAGTAGTTGAAATATCGATCATCAAGCGACGTAATACTGTTCCGCAAGGCTAATAATAATGTTATATTTGAAAATGAGACTGGGAATCGTAAACTATTCAAATCCATCATAATCCTGTTTGGATTGCCTTTTTGAGGAAATTTTTGTAGAAAAATTACTGTTGTACTTTTTTTTATTTATAAAATATGAGGTAAAAAGGTGATTGAAAAAAATGAGAGAACAAAATTCTCATGGAAATTTAAAAAAATTTTCTACAAAAAATGCAATCATACCTAGAATAGAAAGATGTTTTCACTCAGAATGCTTTTCTATTTGGAATGGTTTAGAAAAAATTTTATTATTGAAGTGTCTGATACACATATCAGAATGAAGACATATCAGAATGAAGTGTAGATTGGTATAATCAATTTTTAAATATTAGAATAGAATAGATTCTGTATAGATTCAATATAATTACCCTAAAACGTAGCATAGGACATTCCATATCTTTAATTTTGTTTTATTTATTTGTGCTATGCTATTTGTTTACCTTATTGAACTTTATTTTTTTATTTTAAAGACAACTCATGTACTTATTAAAATAATTAATTTTAATATTCTATTAATTTGAAAAATGAATTTTCATTTTAGTTTTTGTTTTCACTAGCAATATAATTATCAGCCGATACAAAATAAAACTACATGAAATCAAGCATTCGTGTTCTCTTTTTATTATGTTTTGATTGTATATATCAGGTGCAACTAAGATCCTCATAGATTTTCATAAAAGTTTAGAAAAAAATAATGTTTTAAAATTAGCAAAGAAAAAAATAATATATATATATATATATATATATATATAATAAACATAGCTGGATTAGTTTGTTAAAATAGATTAAGATCAATTATTGATTAAACTAACGAATAGCTGAATAAATAAATACGAATAGAAAAAAATGGAATAGCCCATTTCAACCTTATCATCATTATATTCTCCTATTAATCACATTCGATCAACAAAACTACATCAGGATGAGCTGAAAAACGACATTATGATGAGCTGAAAACGACACCCTACTAGTATAAATTAGTAATGTAAATTAGTATAAATCAACGGTTTAGTCAAGCCTCCCTCCTCTTAATCCACCAAACCCTTTCTTCTCCATCTATCAACGGCACCTTAATTCCACCAATACGCAAAACTCCTCCATTATTTTTTCCATCGACTTTTGTCATCATCTACTTCTCTCTCAACCAAGAAAATCCCCAAAAAATACATCAAATGTTTTAGCAACAAAACCCAGCAGGAGAAAAGTCAACACTTCTGAGCTCTTTTAAAGGTTACAGAAACTTAGGAGCAGAGGAAGGGGAGGAGCCATCGCAGCTTGGCGCTGCCGTTTTCGCCCTGCTTTCTTCAGCAAATAACCCTTGTAAGACTACTCTCCTTTTCTCCTTTATCTCTCGATTCCATGTTCATTTAACAGAGTTTTGCTGGTTCTGCTTTGGTGTACTCTTCTATTTTTCTTCAGCACTTTTATTGCGGTACTAAATCAAAGAAGGGATAACATCACTCATCATTAGTTTAATTTGCATTTTTTTTATTTTCTTTAATTTCTACAGTTCGTGCAAGCCCTATATGGAACAGAGGATTTTTGTATCGTTTTCTTGGACCATTTTTTCTTGGGTAAAATGCCCTTTACCCCCCATGGTTTGGCGATTTTCAACATAACTCCTATAGTTTTAAAAGTTATGTACGTAATTCCTTCGTGGTTTGAACTAATTGTCAAAATGATGTAAATGATCATTTGTAACAGATTTCACGGAAATGATCATTTCAATAATATTCCAATAAAGATTTGCACAGGAGTAGTATACTCCTAATACATCAAGAGCATTTAGCGTACCATCCCACTATACAAACTGGCTTTACCAATTATCAAGATCAAATCAAAACAGGAATAACACTAGACTTGGAGACTGTCTAAATCCAGTCCCCATTCCAGTGCCGGTTGCCAGTTCTCCTGAGTTTGCGGAACTTTAGGCCATGAACTAACAATCATCTGAATTGTTCTAGCTACTGCATTCAGAAGCTGTACTGTAGTCATAGCAGATCTCTGAAAAATTCTTCTTGTCCTTTCTTGTCACACAGTCCACATAGCTGCAACTAACACAAGTCTTCCAAGACTGGCAGCAAAAGATCTAGAAATACCATGATGACACCACCATAGCACTTTCTGTTCCCAAAAAAGATTACCTCTGTATAGCAAGCACATATGTTGCATCTTGTCCCAAATACATCGAGAGTACGCACATTCAAAGAAGAGATGCTCCTGAGATTAATCCTTCTGATTACATAACACACAAACTGGAGATATATTTGAAACACCCAATCTGATGAGTATGTCTTTTGTCTTCAGTTTTCTTTTGTAGACCTAACCACAGTACAAAAGAAAATTTTGGCACATGACCACTACCCCACACCAGTTTACACCAAGTCACTGTCTTCTCAACAAGAAAAAGTTTTCTAATTGCTGATTTCACTGAGGACTCCCCAGAAGAAGCCCCTTTCCATGTGACACGATCCTCTCTGTGCAGCTTGCTCAACAAGGAATTAGGAGTACTTTGCTCAAACTCCTCCACAACAGCAGTACATCTCCTCCCTGTCTGCCAAGACCGCTTGCCATGCCTTATGCATTCCACCACTTTAGTGTTATAAGAAAGTCCTAAACACTTGAGTAGAGAATCAGGAAATTTCAGGAATTAGCACTTTGTTTAGTTGTTTCTATTCTTTTTTATATTAATTAAATGCATGATTCACATATCCACCTAGATCCAATATATCCCTGTATTTTGATAAATTGATATAAAAATGTTTTAATGTACTTTCTGGGGAATAAAAAGAGATTTTGTTCTAATTGAAACATCTTGGCTTCTACTGTGGAGTGGTTGGTCTGAGCAGTTAAACTACAGGAGCTGCAAAAAATTGGCATTCCTGCTCTAAGAGGGGGGATATAACAGGCCAACCAAGAATTTTGTGAAGCATGGGTGCTTGAGCCTCTAACATGTAGTTTAAAAGGACTTTAATTCTCTTCTAATGATCAACCTGTTCTAAATGAGTTGGGACAATGCCTCACATTTATGACTTAATCATTCTTGGTCTCTTCGTGTATGTAAGGGAAGCTTGTTAAAAAACAAACATGTGAAAAACGAAATAGTTTTGTCTATTTAAAACAACTTTTTGGATAAAAAAAATGTGGCAAAGTTTTGATGACTTTGCTGAGATCATAGATCACATTGCTCTATTTTCGTAAAAAAAAAAGAAAAAAAATTCTTCTTCTGCATTTAGAAAAATACAAGAAATTGATGATTGATATGTTGTCACATAATTTAAATTTTATTAAGGTAGTTGTTAATCTGTTAGTGGGTTCAATGACTAAAGCATATACAATCCACAAACAAACTTGTTTGGAGTCTTTGTCCATTTGCCTTTTGGGATGGATCATATCTGGACTTCCTTGATTTACATTTGACATGAAGGAAAAAGAGACAGAATGAGCGGAGCGGGAAAGGTGGTGTGCGTGACAGGAGCATCAGGATACATAGCTTCATGGTTGATCAAGATGTTGCTTCATCGGGGTTATACCGTCAAAGCTTCCGTTCGTGACCTCAGTAAGTCATTGGTGACCTCCATATCTCACTCTTGTTAGGAAAAGTGAGTTGTTTTCTATAGATCTCATTTGTATTTATTCTTTAGGATTTGAATGAATGGTTTTGGTTAATATCCCACAAAAGTTGGCATTTCTTAAGTATTTTTTTTTTGATGCCTCAGATGATCCAAAAAAGACAGAATTCTTGATGGCACTGGATGGAGCCAAGGAAAGACTTCGCTTGTTTCAGGCAAACTTACTAGAAGAGGGATCCTTTGATGCAATAGTTGATGGATGTGAAGGTGTTTTTCATACTGCATCTCCACTCCTTCATCCAACGAGTGTGACCAATCCACAGGTATATTTACCTCATGAACAAATCTGGAGATTTTGAAATGTCAACAAACATTAATGATTTAGCTCTTGGAATTCGTAATCTTGACATCTTTAAGGGATTTTTATGAGATTACTTAGATATTCAAATGATCTAATTCATTTATATTAACTTCAGATAGAGCAATTGGATCCTGCACTAAAGGGGACACTGAATGTGCTGCGATCTTGTGCTAGAGTTTCAACTATCAAAAGAGTGGTTTTAACATCTTCTATGAGAGCAGTGACATGTAATCGGGAACTAAAGGATGGTGTTGTAGTTGATGAAAGTTGGTTTGCCGATCCAACATACTGTGAGGAGCGCAAGGTGCGTCTATGATCAGCTGTTTTTTATATCCTGATAAACTGTCTCAAAAAATGTTGGTTCCTTGTTCTGTTTGTCAAAGGAAATGTTAGTGTTTATTCAATTTATTGATGGAAGATAATAATATTTCTGAAAAGGCTTGAGCAATGGAAGTATTTACAAAAATTCATTTTTTAATGTGAACTTGACAAAAGGCTTTACGGTGAAGTGTTTCCTGACTTTGATTCCATAAAAAATGCTTTACAAAATAAACCCAACTGATGCCACAGGATAGGTCGCCACTAAGAAAATAAAAATAGGACACCATAAGAATAAAATATCCTAAGATGTTTTAAATACCAAAAGAACAGGTTGCTAAATAGAAAAGGAAACAACAAAGAAAAAAAGAACTCTTTTCTGAAATTTTCTGCTGCTTACCATTTGCCAGCTTCAACAAAATTAAAAGGCTTGTAGCAATCAAAGTTGAGAGAGAACAAAACAACCATGTTTTTAATTTTTAAGATGAAAGAATTTAGGTAAGTCTTACAATTTTCAATAATTTGATATAGGACACTGCTATCAATCAAAATGCTTAAAGCCGACTTGTTAATGAGAAATTGCCAACATTATGATGAATTTGAGACAGGATACATCACCTAAAGCTTTATACACCACTAAATTAATCCCCATATCTATGTCCAATGGGGGAAAAACATCTGAGTCTGGCGATTACCCTGCAGCAACCATGTCATCCCTAACATGCCAAAATTCCAAGCACCTTGGGGCTACTATCACACCAATATACCATAGCACCTGAACTAACCGAAAAATGCTCATACCAAGTTGATAGTAGACTTGGCTCAAGCTTAGTCTTTTGCAGAACTTTATCTAAAGCCATGTATACTTCTAATACAAACCCCATATATATCAAAGTGGGAAGGTCGAATGTGAGCAAATGATCTCCTTGAGTTCTTTGGAAACATAGCTTTTGCATTTTCCAACTTAAAGAATTATGTTTTTAAAATGAAGCTAACAAATCTTTTTACTCATGTCAGTTGTGGTATCCACTATCAAAGATTTTGGCAGAGAATGCTGCTTGGGAGTTCTCAAAGGAGCATGGTATTGATATGGTTGCAATCATACCAGGAATGGTCATTGGTCCCATCTTGCAGCCTTATCCCAGTTTAACTGCAGGAATGGTCCTGAACCTAGTAAATGGTACGTAGAGAAATTTGTTTTAGATTGTTAACTAGTGATTCTATAACAAATATTGTCGATCTTTCATTATGATTAAATATCTACCATCTTCTTTCAAGAATAAGTTAATCAATGTAATTTAGGACACCTCATATAAACTACGCTCATCCTGGGAAAGCAGGCTGCAATTCTAAATTTGACAACTTTCATCTTTCATTGACTGTTCTACCTTTACAAGTAAGTATTCTAGTAATTATCGTATGAGACGATATTGATTTAAGTGTTAAATGCAGGAGCTGCATCATTCTATACCGCGCGCATGAGATGGGTTGATGTTAGAGATGTTGCCTATGCACATATTCTAGCCTTTGAAGTCCCTTCTGCCAGTGGAAGATATTGTGTAGTTGAGGGATTTGCACTGTGGACTGAGTTTATCAAGACTCTGAATGAATTGTATCCTACTCTCCAATTGTCAGATGAGTGAGTCTCGAATTCCTTGGGTCTTTTACCATGTTTATTTCATTGATTGATCCTAAAAAATACAAGCTCGAGAGTTACATATTCGTTTCTAGAGCTTCACTGTCATGGTCCAAGTGTCCAACCATGTGAGAATTGGGATAGGAAATAATTCTAGTCGCCGGAATATTGTTTCAACAGTTTGTTAATGGTGTTATAAAAATCACCTAAATAGTCTGATGCTCAAGATTTTAGATAAACTCCAACCTGCTAGGCCAAGTTACTCGGCTGGGCAAAATCAGTGGGAAATTTGCTTAAACAGGAGACAGCATATTTGTTTAAGTCAATCCTAGTTACATGTAGACGGAGTATTGCAGAGACTACACTTGAAGATAATCAATTTGTTTTAGCAAGTGTTATTAGGCTATTCTAAGATGAGGATCAAGAAAGAGTCTAGACTATTGAGGCTGGTAGGCCTATGTATTCCCGTTCACTAAATTCACTGAATCATGCTTCTCCTGGCCAAAATAAAGCGTGATGCTTTTGCTATTACAGATCAGCATCGTCTTATTTGAATTCTAGTCCATCAAAATGCAAAATCGACCTTTCTAATGTTACACAGCTTTAATTGAATATAAGCATTTTCATTTCTAAAAGTTTGTTTCTAATTGTTTTGACCTGTTGCAGGTGTTCTACTAGTACACCCCTAGTTGAGCCAAACTACGAAATATCAAATGAAAAAGCAAAGAGTTTGGGGATTGAGTTCATTCCTTTCAACGTTTGCCTCAAGGATACTATCGAAAGCTTCAAAGAGAGGAACTTGGTTAACTTCTGAACAAAATTCTTAAGCAGATTGAGATTGGAAAATATACATTTTCCAATTTTTCATTCTCTTGTGTGAGAGTAAACTCTTAGAACTATGTGACTGGTGCACTTTTATTCTAGTTAGTAATTGTCTGTGGTACTTTCATTGAACTGATCGAACTTTTATTGTAGCAATATGAAACCATAGGAGGGCTATGCCAAGGAAGGCTTAATCCAATGGCTAAAGTTACGACTCTTAAGAATTAAAAGTCCGAGTTTAGATTCCCCCTCCCCTCCCCCTCCTCACTTCTTAATTTGCGCCTTTCTCCTGTTAAAAAAAAAAATAATTGAGGATTATTAGCACTACATAAACCACATGAGCCTGCTGAAGTTTAAAATGTGTTCAATACTTAATTTATTTATTGAGGACTCATTAGGGTGGGAATGTGCTAATCAAATGATTCTGGGAATAAATTAGCAAGTGTTTGATTCAGAGATTAATGGTATGCGGCGTGTGTTTAGATGGAAGATTATTTTGAAAAAATTTGTTAGAATATTATTGTAATATTTTTTGTGATTTAATGCATGTGAGATAAAAAAGATAGTTAGAAAGATTAAAAAATAATTGTAAAAATATGTTTGTAATGCAACAAAAAATTTTCCAAAGGATAAGTTATCCAACAATTTGGAAACATATTTTAGATTATATTGTAACAATTTCTCTTTTTTTTTTTGGTGATATAATGTGCTTAAGACAAAAAGATGATTGGAAAGATAAAAAAATAACAGAAAAATACGTTCTCAAATTTCTTTTCCAAATAATCACCTAGCCAAACAAATTATTAAAGGTTAGTTCTTGTCAGTTTGAACTTTCCCAAAGCCAATTACGGAAAAAGTCATTTCAAAATTATCTCAAACTTTTATCACTTATTTATTTGTTTACTATACAAAAAAAAACCTTTTGAATTCCCAGTAGAAAGAGATTTTCTTAAGAAAAAAGCTTTTAAAGCTATCCAATATTCATTCACTTTCCATATATTTTTATGAATACAATTTTTTTTTGATATAGAAGTACGCATTTTTGGAAATACCATTTAATTTAAAGGGTATTGCTTCTTGTTCTAATTGAATGTGGAAGGCATCTATTTTGCAAAACCAATTATTTAGTCTACTTATTATTGATGGAATATTTCCTTAAAAAAAAGAATTTCAATAGGAAATATTCTCACATATATTTAAGAACATGAAAGAATTTATGACTTACGTCGTTATCAGAAACTTCCCGCTTACACACCAAAAAAAAAGAAGTCATGATCAGACACTAAATACTACCAAAAAGTCTCGACTGATTATGATTAAATTGAAAAATCTAGTCCCATCTTGGAAAGAGGAGGTGGAGTTAAAACAACGCTTTGTCCTTTGCTGAAACTTCAACAGCCACTACTTTCTTCGTCCATTAAAGTATATGAATTCTTCTGTAGTCAAGCTAACATACTTAAGACTAACAAGCAAAAGGGGTCCAAGGGGAGATGAGTGGAGCTGGGAAAGTGGTGTGTGTGACTGGAGCTTCGGGTTACATCGATTCATGGCTGGTGAAGCTGCTTCTAGACCGCGGTTATACTGTCAAAGCTTCTGTTCGTGATCTCAGTACGTCATTCAAAACTCCATATAAGCCATCTTGAAAGTTGCTAATTGTATTGTGTTTATAGTTGTAGATTATTCCTGTTTTGCATGTGTTTGTACAAAGGTGCCACTGTCTATTTGGTCCGGTGGTCATCACCCTCTTTGGTAACGCTGGAGGGAGGGGTAGCCTCTTTGGTGATGCCGGAGGTCAGGGGTTCTACCCCTGCCTCCCTCAAATTTGCCACAACACGTGGCTAGTCTTAGTTGACCATCTCCCCTTGCTCCTTTTCCCTAGATTAGGCTAGATTAGGTTATAGGACCCTAGATTAGGCTAGATTAGGTTACAGGACATCTACCGTTGCCGACCAAAAAAAAAAAGGTGTTTTGTACAAAGGTCTTGTTCCCTACATTAATCATAACCTTACAAGGAAAAGCTTCAACCGGTTTTGGGTACTACGTCGCATATTGGGTGGCACTATGTCCTACAAAATAGAGGTATTTGGAATTTGTGGATATAGCACTTTTAAATAAGTTGAATAATATTTGATATTTAGACTCTTTTCTTATATTATCTGTTATATGAACTGTAAGTGTTGTTCAAGAGTTCAATTTGTTAACTATTGAAGTTTGAATGCGTTAAACTAAATGAGCCTAGCTGAACTCAAGCTTGAATTTGAGTTTGACAAATTGGCTTAATTCGATTGTTGAGAAATAATACATAATTTAGGATAAATATGATTTTATATAATTTTATGTATTATTAGTCTTTTGAAGGAAAGAGCGATATATATATATATACACACACATATGAATGATCATTTCCATTACTTTGATACTTTAATCTAAATCATGATGGAACATTTCCATCATAAATAATGCATTATTTTTGCGTATCTGCATTATTTATTATTATCTGCATTATTTTTGCGTATCTGCATCATTTCCACTTATATGTTCCTTATTCTACTCGTCTCTTTTCGATGTGGGACATTGATTCACACTTGATATCCCAACAGAGAGAACTCAACTTGTGAGGCCCTTATTTGTGTTACACTAATTTATTTAATTCATGGAAAATTTTTCCATTGTCACGTCCCTATCCAGCACAAACTTAAACTAGACATTAAACCTATAATATGTAGGGTATCATTTCCGATTGTGCTAATTAGTTTAAATGGTTTTTTTTTTTTATAACAAAAGTTTGAGTGAGTTCAACTCTGATCATCACTATGAGACATAACTGGTTAGATGGATTCAAGATAGTTGTCTTTATGTGCAAAATCATGTTTTAGACTGGGCATTGGCAGGGCACCTTAAAAGTTAAAAGCTATCTAATTTTGTTAGTTTTATTTGTATTTGTTGTATATTATACAGAAGGATAAAAGGATGGGATAGATGAATTAATTCCAAAATTTATTCCGGGGAAACTTCTTTTGACATAAAAATGGTGATGAAATTTCTTTTATAACTTGAAATTGATTTGTATGTAACTTCAGCTATGCTAAATTCTTTTCTTGAAAGCTTCAGGATTTGGATGCGAGCAATCAAAACAATGAAAAGTTTACCCCATATCTTTTATTATCTTCAAATTTGTTTGGTTAATATAACATCTTTGTTTGAATTTCACATAATATTATCTTCTCTAGGAGATACTAGTTTCTACATGTATAGTGATCCCTGCCCTGCATTGTATAAGCTGGTTCTGAGGAGATGACCTAGTGGTGGAGAGGTGATTTGCTTGCTTTATGCTGGATGATTGTGGCATTTTACTACTGTCCAATTATGCTGCTAACTTGTACTTCATTATAAATCAACATCAGATGCACATTGACTTTTGTGATCATTCCGTTTAAAAAATGTTTATGATTTTCAAAGTTACGGTGTCTGTGATGCTACTAGAATCCATTGTCAAATTGCAAAACAGAGTTTGAGGAAACATAATTTGCCAAAAAGAAGTTTTGCACTTTAGAGAGCACAAGAATCGATTGTACCTGCATATTGTCACTCCCTACCATCTTTTGTTTCTTTCCTCTTTTCAATGTTATATAACACGCTAACATCATACTTTTCGGTTCTTTAGAACTATGTTATCCTTTTAATCACAAATTTGGTTTGCCTTGAGTATTTTTGTGCTAAAAACATGATACTGGCTTGTATTCATGCCACAGATGATCCAAATAAGACAGAATTCTTGATGGCACTTGATGGAGCCAAGGAAAGACTTCACTTGTTTCAGGCAGACTTACTAGAAAATGGATCCTTCAGTGCTCTAGTTGATGGCTGTGAAGGCGTATTTCACACAGCATCTCCTGTTCTGCTTTCTGTCAGCAACCCTGAGGTACATTGACCTTCTGACCGCTTGGAGAAAGACCATAAGTCAACAAAAATTTCAAGTACTTTTGCTCTATGAGTTTGTGAGAGACATATTTACTCATTTTAGTTATTTCTTTAAGTGGATGGCTCATGGCTCTGCTGCTTGAGGTCATTGTGGATGATTTAGCAAATTTTACGGCATAATACAATCCTCTGACGTTTGATCTGAGCAACCTTATAATACTCGTATTGAGTGCATGAGTTAGTCTACTGAAACAATAAAAGATAAACAGGTTAAATTTCAACATTTTCAGTTCAATGTCTTTATAGTGCACAAGGACCTTCTAATTGATTTTTTGTTCTGAACGTAAGAGATAAATAATGCAGATACGCAAAAATGTTGAAGATAATTTCTTCATATCTTGGAACATTTCATACTACTTCCAGAATTCATTAGCAAAGACAATGAAGTGTTGTGAAGTTTCATCTGTTGAGTATATAAGTCGAACAAATGTGATCTATACCTCTTGCCAGTTGAAATTTAGAAGCATTTTAGCTCCCAGCCTGCAATTCAAAGAACATATTGCAATTACAGGAGTTATTCAGTGCTATAAAATAGTAATCAGATTTGCTAGACTTTTCAATCTTTTAAGATCTCAGGGAGCATGAACTTTCTCATTTTTAGCAGTGTTGATAGTTGATCTAAGGTGTTCAAGAACCTATATTTGTACGACTGCCATACATATTTCTCTAGTTTCCCAATGTTGGTTCTTTTGGTACTTAAGATGATCCACGTGATGAATAAACATTGCAATGGAGCTGTATACTGAAAGGCATATGTACTAAAAATCCATTACTAGTTAGAATTAGAGTACTTAAATGATAACTTTTGTCATGAAGCATGGATGGAGCTTATGTATATAGTTTCTCCAATGCCTGACTTCTTCTTTCTGCTTCGATTCTTAGGCAGAGCTATTGGACCCTGCAGTAAAGGGAACACTAAATGTGCTGCGCTCTTGTGCAAGAGTTTCATGTATCAAAAGAGTAGTATTAACATCTTCTATGGCTGCCGTTGCAAACAACCGAGAATTAAAGGATGGTGTGGTAGTTGATGAGAGTTGGTTTTCAGACCCGTCATACTGTGAAGAGCACAAGGTGCATTTACCATATTTTTTTTTCAAGACAAACTCCTGATGAAGTATTTGTTTTATTTCATTTGTTAACCCAACAGAAGCCGAGAGTAGATTGATCCTGATGATACTTTTGTAGGAAAAAGATTGCCATTGTTGTTCATGTTTTCCAAATCATACCACAATCCAATTTCTCTGCCTTTTTTTGTTTTGGTGTGTGCGTGCGTCTAAGCAACAATTATAATGGTTTTGATCAGTAGAGTTAATGATGTATGAAAGCATCAAGAGAAAGACGATTTGATAGTTTGTCTAGAAAATAGAGAACAAATATTGCCTGTGTTTCCAAGGATGACTATTTGACATCACCAAAAAATCACAAGGCTGATGGCAGGGAATCAAAACAGGCATAGAGCAACAGTATGCAATTTTAAGATGAATTTAACATGACAGATGGTCTAGCTTATTCAGAAGAAATCAAGTAACTGCAACTGAAATGTTAGTATCAGGTGTTAGGCTTGCACCATAAAACTCGAATTACTTCCTATAGCTATGTGCAGAGTTTTCAGAGAATCACAACAGGATAGTGCTAGCCAAATCTCGAAGAACTAAAAGAAAGTTACTAGTAATTGAAAAAAGTTCATATGCACACTTCATATATGTAAGGATATTAGGGCACACTATTATGCACCTCACATAACGGGAAGCTTTCCAGTCACAATGATTGATAATATGGCCTTAAAATTGAAACAGTACGTATAAGATTGAGACGCAAAAAAATTGTGCTGAACAAGTGTTATGCTGATATTTTGTATTTTTTTGTAGACCATAATCAAATAAAGTTATCTAGATAAGCTTTCTCCAAAGGAGGTTGAACACTATTCTTGAGAAATTGATGAAAACTAGTTGTGTCTAAATCATAGCCTGTCTAGATATGTCTAACCTTTAGGTTTCATTATACCTGGAAGGCAGTGCAGAAAGTGCTAATTATAACCGAGGTAAGGACAGGGGTAAAAATCTAGGAATTGCAATACCCCAATCTTTTGACTTGAACTGGGGACTTATGATGCTTATGGTGAATTGGTAGTTGCAATTCAACAATGGCGTTATGTGTCACTGAAATGATTCTGAGATGTCCAGTGCTGAGCAGTTCCTGGATATCGTGATCACGCACCATTAAAGACATGCCATCCCTAAGATAGCCCTATATAACATGCCTAGTGTTGCCAAAACCACCAGCCTTCATAATCTAACACCAACTTTGGCCACTTCAGACATGGACTAGGCCAACAACTCTTGATCTCAAATGTTGGACAAAACTTGGAATGAGACAGGAGGATTTTCAGAGTTCTTTTGTTTTTCCAAAACATGCTTTTGTATTGTCCTTCTTGAAGAAATACCTTTTACAAGGATAACTGACAAACCTTTTGGTCTTTTCAGATGTGGTATGTACTTTCAAAAATTTTAGCAGAGAATGCTGCATGGCAATTCACAAAAAAGCACGGAATTGACATGATTGTGATTAATCCAGGAATGGTTATTGGTCCTATCCTGCAGCCTTTTGCCAGTCAAAGTGTAGGAATAATCCTGAACCTAGTAAATGGTACTTCTGGAAACCTTTAAGATCTCTAGTTAATCATGCTCTATCTGATGTGTGTTTATGTTTTTCAGTTAGAGGCTTCCTAGCCATTTGAAGTTTGTTCTTCGCAAAGTAGTACAAGCAAGTAATTCTTAAGTAACTCTATTGATATTTAGAGTCTATTCATTTAACAAAAGAATTTCCGAACAAATATATGCATTCTTGCCCATCATGTTCCATCTGAATTCAAATTTTCACTGATAGCATTTTGGGTAATCTAAAGCAAAGGTACATAAATACAAGTGAAGGCACATATAATCAATGTATATCTACTTATACTATCTTTGAATATTCCTGTCTAATTTTTCTTTTGGTTTCATCTATGATAGCACCTTTCTTGCTGCAAAATTTGCATTTTAAGTCAAATACACAAAGAAAAATATTTGAGTAATATTCCTAAATATTTTTCCTCCCTGAAGTATTACAAAAAGGTGTGTAATTCCTAACTATTTTTACTTGTGTAATGTATATTTGAATCTCAGTTTTATCAGTTGAAAGACATCCTATTGCTCGGAAAAGTTATCATGAATCCCAAAGTTTTTTGCCTAGATAGTATAACCAATCACACTGCAGAAGTCTACCTATTAGCATTCCACCAGAACAGATGGCTCTCCTTAGCTTTTACCTTTTGCAAGAACAGATGACAAATCTCTCTGTCTGTCTGTCTGTCTGTCTCTCTTTCTCTCTCTCTCTCTCTCTCTCTATATATATATATATATATATATATCTATCTATCTATCTATTTTGGTTGATTTACTATCACATATGGAGGGAAGGAAGCAACAATTTTTTCAACTTCATTCTATATATTACCTGTCTGTTTGAACTTTGAACACATATCATCCAGACAAACCTGCATATTCATGACAATCACGTTGATTTCTTAGCCTGGATTGCCTAGTAAATGGCTTTTGTTATGAAAGTAGACAGACTGTTGGAAACTTGAATAAAAGCAAAAGACTTGAGGACATTTTTAGCATGTATTACTTAATTGAGTCACTAAAATTGCATCCAAAAGACTAAATCAGTTATGCAACTTTTGAGTCCAACAGTTGTTTCAAGTGGTTAATGACCTGCCTTACTAGCTTATTGACCTCCCAATAATCACTTTCTTTGATAGCTATTGGTGTACCAAGAAAGAAGAAAAGAGATATGCAATTCTCAATGTAAATCTCCATTTCGACCAAAAAGCTGCACTAGCTTCTAGTTTTGCCTATTTTTCTCTCTCAATATTGGCTAATAGTGCCTTCAAAAACACTGGCAAGATATGTTAGTGATTACAGGTTGATCATATTATTCATTGAATTTTTCAATGCAGGAGCTGATTCGATCAAGGGTGCACCTTTTGGATGGGTTGATGTTAGAGATGTAGCCTATGCACACATTCTAGCCTTTGAAATCCCTTCTGCCAGTGGAAGATATTGTATAATTGAGAGATCTGCTCACATCTCTCAGCTCACCAAACTTCTGCGAGAACTTTACCCTACTCTCCACTTACCAGATATGTATGTATAGCTTCAACTAATTCCATGCCAAATTATGTCATATGTCATGACATCTCCTTTGAATCTGATTAAAAGTATATTCTATGTTGTTAAGCATCATCTTCTCATAAACGAGCCACTTTCTTTGATTTCTTCTTGCAATAAGGTTTTTTCATGAGTTGAGGTCCAACAAAATATGTAATTGTGACAACTTTCTGCATGATCAACTAAAAGTTTTTCAACTATCACTTGGATCCTCCATACTTCTGGATGAAATAATTGATTTGATATGGTTTTGCCTTATGCCATCAGTATAGAATCTGTAAATTTTACCGGTATATCTTTCTGTTTCATTGGATGGAAAGACACTTAGAATAGAGGTAATGTAGTCGTAGAAGAATCCATTTGTTCAATTGCTTAAGCTGATTCAACTGTGAATCAGACAGGAGTTGATCTGCTCCCCAAGCCACCATCCAGAATTTCAAATAGGAGCATAATCCAGCATTCTTTTTGCTACAGGAATAGCAAAAAATAAAGTACCAAAACAAAATGTTTATCTCCTGATATTGTACTTCAAATTTGACTATTTCAAGTTACTATGACCAAATCAGCATTTTGGTTTTCCAATTGCTTACAGAAAGGTTTTAACATATTAAGTTAGAAAGGTCTATTACAGAATTCTTTGAATACAAAGCAGGAAAGATATACCTCTTTATAGAAATGAATTCAAGTATCCAACAACTAGATGCTTTCTGATAATACTGAACCAAAATATTTGGCATATTGTTTCAATGTATTTTGGTAGGTATTATGGACTAGGCAAAATGGCGTGATGATGCTTGGTCTTGGAGCCAAGCCAGGATAGATTCTGGTTCTGGTAGGATAAAAGTTCCTGTGAGAGGCTTCTGTTCTGTAAGATGCCCAATCTGGAAGAAATTCAACCTGCAATGCCAAAAGATTTCACAGGGTTAAAAGAGTCGGTTCAAATTAGTGAATTCAGCTTGAAAGTGTCATCTCTTCTTCCTTCTATGAGTTCCACCTTCCAGACTAACTTCTGAGCCTCTCAACTTGCTTCTAGGCTAAATTTCTTGGGCAAGGGCCAGATATATAGGCCACAGTCATGTGTTTACTGGACAGTTATGCAGTTAGAAATTGGTAGCATCATGTTCATTTGAATGTCAACAAGGAACAAAGTAGTGAACATTGATTACATATGCATCATATAGCAAATGCCCTCCTCATTTTTGAAGAGTTAAATTTGATGAGTATATCTGTATTCACCTCTCCACTTTTTCCTTAGGTGTTCTACCAGTGGCAATTCCCAACACCCAGACTATGGAGTATCAAACAAGAAAGTTAAAAGCTTGGGAATGGAATTGATTCCATTGGATGTCAGCCTAAAGGATACCATTGACAGCTTGAAGGAGAAGAACTTAGTTAGTCTTTAAATAATAGAAATGATTTTTTGTGAATCAACTACTGAATAGAAAATTGTTACATGTTCTCAAAACTTTCCTGCTTTAAACCCTCCACATGCTTATTCCAGTTTGGCAAAACTTCTTTTAACATTAGTGTCCAAATCCCATCCTTGGTGTCCAAATTGACAAGTGCATATTTTGAGTGTTTTAAGTGTATTTTATTATTTAGTTTCGGTGTGTTTTAGTCATGTTTATAGCTAATGAACTGGGTTTCAAATGAAAATATACATTTTGTGGTTTAAGTAGTAAAATTGCATTTCTATGGATTTTTATCGTAAAAACTTCATGTTTTTATAGGTTTAAGGATTCAATCATCAAATGAAGTGATTTGAGAAGATATTTGGATGATTGATGATGATTTGAATTAGTTTAAAGAAGACATGAAATGCAAAAGAGGAAATGCAAGCAAGAACAAAAGGAAGCAAGTTTCACAGCTTCGATATATTGTGGTATTTTGATAATATCTTGAGTACAAGTATCTAATTGAGACGATTCTTATACCATTTTGAAGCTAAGAGATAGATCTATATTTGGTATGGAAACATAGAAATCCAGTTCAGTCGTTTTCATTGTTAAAAAGTCGAAATACAGAAGTGCATTTTCATGGTCGAAAGCTGAAAAAGAGTTCTGACCAGTTGAGGGTTTTTTAGTCATTTCTCAGTTCACAGAGCTTTAAATTGGATGATTCTTGATGCATTGAAAAGCGAACTCAAAGAGCTACAACTTTTATATTTTGAACAAGAACTAGTTCAGCCTCCATCATCAAGAAAAGATCAGTGGAAGTTGGAAAAACACAGAGCAAGTAAATCCAAGTTTGGATTTGTACTAAACCTGACTTCGGATAAACTTCTGTAATCAGAGGCTATATCCGAGGGGAGGTCCGGGCTCGGATCCCCATGTTACGAGCCTCGGATCTTAATGTGCAGTGAAAATAAAAATGAAGAAAAATGAGATCCGAGGGGTATTTTGAGCGATCCGACCTTGGATCTTGCCCTCGAATCTCCAATTGCGGCTCTGCAACTTGTGCTCTATTCACACAAGATTTTTGATCAATTTATCTGCAAGAAATCCAGCTGGAACTGAGCAAGTAAGTATAGAGAATTCAAGAAGCATCTTTTGGTGATTCCAAGGAGCAATTTACATCAACCTCAACAACTCACCTTGAGCTTGAATTCCTTTATAAATAGAGGCCTTGGAGAACATTTTCACAACTTTGGAAGGTTAGAGAAACTCACAAAAAATGTAGGGTCCGTTTGGATCCCTTGTTTTTGGAGTTGTTTTTGAAAAACTATTTTTCACATTCCAAATGCTAGTAAATGTGTATTTCCAAAACAACTCCAAAAACACCATATCCAAACATTATATCAAAAACAACTACATTTGTATATTTCAATTATGTATATATTATATATATATTATATTAATATAAATTGAAATATACAAATTGAAAAAATATATATATTATATTATATAAATGTTTATATACATTAATATAATACATAATATTGTATATTATACATAATATAATATAATATACATAATATAATATACATAATATGTAATATTGTATACATAAATGTGTAAATATTTATACATAATATATTATGTACATTATATTATAATATATATATTATTAATGTATGATATTATTATGTACATTATTGTGTATAATAATGTATAATAATGTTATGTATAATATATAATATACATAATATGTAATAATGTAATAATGTATATTATGTATAAATATATTATATTATGTATATTATATTATATATATACAATATTATGTATATTATACAAATTGGAAATTATATATTATATACTATACAAATATTTGTATAATGAAATATACAATAAATATTACAAATTGAAATATTATATAAACACCATATTTATAATATTATAATATTTATAATTAATATTAATGTATATTATATATATTAATTATTTATTTATTTATTTATACATATTATAAATATTTAATTTTATTTAAAAATATTTTTATATATTTATAATATATTTATATGAATACTATATATTATATAAATTATGTATAATATAATATATAATATATATTTTATATATTATACATTTATATAAATGTACATTTATACATAATATATATATTAATGTATATTTATAATATACATTTATACATAATATTAATTTTACATTTATACATAATATTAATACATTTGTACATTTATATTAATTATATTAATACATTTATACATAATATTAACATATATGAATAAAATTATAATTTATACATTTATATAATATTCATTTATAATTTATACATTTATAATAATATACACTTATACATTTATAAATATATTAATATATGTATTATATATAATATAATACATTTATATATTTTTATATAAATACATAAATATATTTATTTATAAATATTTATAAATATATTATAAATGCATAAATGTATATTTATATAAAAATATAAAATTTATACATTTATACATTTATACACTTATATAATATTCATTTATAATTTATACATTTACAATAATATATAGTTATACATTTATAAATATATTTATATTATGTATTATTTATAATATAATAAATTTATAATACGTTTATATATTTTTATATGAATATATAAATATATTTATTTATAAATATTTATAAATGTATTATAAATGCATAAATGTATATTTATATAAAAATATAAAATTTATAATTTGTAATTTATACATTTATATAATATTCATTTATAATTTATAAATTTATATAATATTCATTTATAATTTATACATTTATAATAATATACACTTATACATTTATAAATATATTTATATTATGTATTATATATAATATAATACATAAATTTATATATTTTTATATAAATATATTTATTTATAAATATTTATAAATGCATAAATGTATGTAAAAATAAAAATTATAAATTATAAATTATAAAAATACCCAAAAATATTTTTTAAAAATACCTCTAATCCAAAAAACATTTACAGTAAAAGTTTTTCATATAGTTTTTGAAAAACAACCGCAAAAACAACTAATCCAAACGGATTTGTATTTCAAAAACGAAATGCTACAGTGCTGTTTTTGAAAAACAACCCCAAAAACAGCTAATCCAAATGGAGCCGTAGTTTTCACTAGAATTTCCTTAGTTCATTAGTTAGGGTAGTATAGAGTAGTTAGTGTAGTTTCTCTTTCTTGTATTTATAGTTAGATTTGGATGAAGATTGAGGAGCAAAGATGGAGAGGTTGATCTCATGTGACAAGGGTGATATCTCTTCTACTGCTTGCTCTCTTGTATTTGATTTCATGTTTAGCTATAATACAAGTTTGGCTTCGTGTTTTTATCATGTTTAGTTAAAGTTTATGCCTAGAGTTATGGATGAACTTTCTATATCTTGTTTGTGATATTTACTTGATTATTTGATGATATTATTTTGAACAAGTTATTTATTACTTTTGCTTTTCTAATCATGATTAACCGGCCATTAGTTATGATTATCTAAAGGTGTTAAGTTTGCAATGAAAATTGAAACTTGATACTAGTTCAAGGAAGTGATAAACCTAGGGAATACACTCACGAGAGTAGAGGTGCACCTTTGTGGTTTTAGTGACTTGTTTCATGTAATTTCATAGAAGAAATGAGTTTGTAGTTAATTCATAACCACGAGAGTAGGTATGGTTTAGCTATAAGTATAGTCGATTCACTACGAGAGTAGGTTTCACATACATTAGGAAATTACACCATAACTAGGTAAGATAATAACATTCACTTAACCGGTAACTTCATTTGCAAGAATAGTAAGGAATTCCATACCTCTAGAAACTTTCTAGCATTATTTTCATTACTTTTACGTTTATGGTATTCTAGATAATAAAGAAGTTCGAAAATCACCAGTAATTGAAAATCTTCCTTATGGGTTCGACTCTTAGTACCCTATACTCGCTCACCACCTGTATACTTGCAGAAAAATCTTGTGTAGGGTATTTAGGATGTTATAAATGTAAAACTTGACTGTGAATGAACTAATTGTATATGTATACCCCGTGCATGTCACAAATTATTTCGACAAACAAAGAAATCTATATCCTACCAACGCAATTGATGGAAAACGGCCGAAGTCAATCCTTTTAATTGGCGTGATGACCATTATGCTTGTGTTCAGCCTAAATAACAAAATGGATGCTGAGCTGCTTGAGGTTGAAACATGAATCATGAAGTCTTTTCATGCTTTTAAATTGCTATGTTTGTTTTGAGATATCTATTGAGATATTTTTTTGCTGTTAAGTTGAGTGAATATTGAACCACGTTCATGCACAAAACTTAAAATAAATGTCATATTTAAATGTACAAAATCATTATAAAGTAATGAAATTTAATAGGTATAAGAATTTACTAAGAATATAATTCTATAGCCTTATTACACTTATTTCTGAACAATATCGTACTAAATGTTGAAAGGCTTTCAAGTTGGCAATGTCGCACTGATGGCATTGCACAACATGAATCTCAATTGACTAAATTTAAAATTTACACTGAAGCCACATAGAGCATTTATCCATGAAAATGATACACTTAGAATTAGTATGTAACTCGATACCTATCAATTTATAAAAAGTATTCTTCATTTTAGGAGTAAGAAAAGGTTTTATAGGATTAAATTACTCATAAATAAATGAAACAAATCAATTAAATTAGATTTCACAGTATTCGATGAACCAAAACTTTGATAATCCTCTAACTACAACAGAAAATTAGCCATTCATCGTAATGGAATCGTAGCAAAAGATATTTTTAGGATTTTTTAATTAAAGTGAAAAGAAAAGAAAAGAAAAGGAATAATGGAAAATTTTGTTTCAACGAAAGAAAAAACAAAAGGCCTGAGGATCGTATTCTCCTCTTTGGCTTTATTCATTCCTAATTGACTACTCCCGAGTCATGATCAACTCTCCTACGCTATCCTTGAGTTATTCCCATAACCAAAAGGATAACAGTCCTTTTTGGAATGTGATTCTAAATAATATAGTACTAATAAAAAGGAAACCAAATATTTTGTCCCTATAGTAACTAATCAGCAGAGATTATCTCCATAAAGAAACAATGATTCTGTTGCAATTGATCAGTAGAATATGGCCCACTTCAAATCGTGGGACATTCAGATTTCA